CGCCGCCGCCGCCGCCGCCGCCGCTGCCGGCCCCGCGATGGTCCGCGCCAGGCCCCAGCCCGGCGGGCTCTGCCTCCTCCTGCTGCTGCTCTGCCAGTCCCTGGAGGACCGCGGCGCCCAGGGTGAGTGCGGGGGCGCGGGAGGCTGGGCTCCCCCAACCCAGTCAGCCGTCGCCGCCCTGGGGAAGTGTTGGGCCAACTTAGCGAGTGCGGGATGGAGAGGGGTGGGCAACCGGGGGCGCTGACACCAGGACCGGGAACGGAGTTTGGAGCTCGGTTGTCTTTCCAAGGCAGAGTCGGCAGTTGGCGTTGGATGCTCCAAGTTCCGGCCGCGCTGACTCTAGCTGTCTCCCCCGTTGGCTCCGAGAAGGAGCCGAGCATCCGCAGCCTGCAGATTTCAGAGGCCCATTTGCCGTCTGCCTAGCGCTTTCCAGCATCTTTTAGGGACTTTATAGAAGCCGCTGGGGTGCAGGAGAGATACTGAGTTTTCTTGAGTGGCTGGGGGACGTGGTTTCAGAAACTTTGCCCAAACTTGGAAATGTGGGTGCTGAAAATTGTAAAAGGAAGTAGGTTTCTTTCTGCTTAGTGGATGCTTCTTGCAGCCCCCTCCCCCACCCGCGCAAAAAAAAAAAAAAAAGAAAAAGAAAAAGAAATATTTAGGGTACTTGATAATTTCCCCCCTTTCTCTTATTCCTCTGTTAACTTTCTGTGAGCGTAGTCTACAACTGATTTAGGTCGTAAAATGGATTAAGGGCAACACTGTGAAGCTTATCTTTTAAAACTGGATTTTATTTCATTAAATCCTGGGGCATATTTTCCAAAAGTATGAAGCTGGACGCTCGCGCTTCAGTTATTGTTAAAGTCACCTCGGTGAGTCACGGGAAGTTTTCCTGCTCAAAGTCCCTTAGTAAAAGGGGGGACCGAAGAGGGAATGAGCCCCCAAAGACTTCTTGGTAGGCTTAGATATGTATATATAACCGGGAAACGGTAGGCACCCTCCCCCTGCGCGGTGTTACTTTGCCTGCGTTAGCGTGACTGTTTTTTGTGCGTTTGTAAACTGCCCCCCGCGTCTGTCCAGCTGCTCCGCATGACCCGCCTTTGCTGCGAGGCGCTGCCCGAGTGCGGGACGCGGGCGCCGGGGCGAGCGGCCCTCGGAGATTTCGAAAGCTCTCAGCGACGGCGGGCGGCGGGCGGCAGGCAGGCAGGCAGGCAGGCGGGCAGGCAGGCAGGCAGGCAGGCAGGCAGACAGGCGGGAGGGCGCGCTCCACGTCTGTCGGATTGCAAAACGGGCCCGTCCGGCGGGCTGCGCCTCCAGCGGGGCTGTTCCAGGCCGGGCCGGTTGCTTTTTCTTTTGTTTTTTTTTTTTTTTTTTTTTTTTTTTTTTTTTTTTTTGCTTTCATTTTTCACAAGTGCCTTTCTCCTGATATGTTCCTGGGTAGGTGTGTGTGTGTGTGTGTGTGTGTGCGTGTGTGTTTCAGTCTTCTCCCGTCTCACGCCTTCTACTTTCTCAGCCCCTGTCACAAATAATTCCCCCGCCGCCTACATGAAACCAACATGTAAAAACATCCGTCGCATCCTGTTTGTGTCAGGTTCTTTCATCTGCTCTTCGAGCCGCTGCAGATTATGCAATGGGACGAAGCAAAGTAAACAGTCTAGTAAAAGTCAGCGCGAGCCGCACGTGTTGTGTCTGGGTCACCGGTAGCTGCCATGGGGCTGCGGGCCGGGGCGCCGTCCTCTCCTTCGCTCGCTCACCTCGGCGATCAGGGCTTCCCACGTCCCCACCTCCCCAGCCCTTCCATTTATTTCCCGCTTCGCTCGGGTCTCCCGTCCCCGCCCCCACGCTCACCCCCAGTCCACCCCCGCGGCGTCTCCTGCGCTCCCAATGCCTCCGCGCCTCCCCTCCGCGGTCCCCTCCGCTTCACCTCCCTGCTCCGTGTCTCCACAGCTGGGAACTGCTGGCTCCGCCAGGCCAAGAACGGCCGCTGCCAGGTCTTGTACAAGACCGAGCTGAGCAAGGAAGAATGCTGCAGCACCGGGCGCTTGAGCACGTCCTGGACCGAGGAGGACGTGAACGACAACACCCTCTTTAAGTGGATGATCTTTAACGGGGGCGCCCCCAACTGCATCCCCTGTAAAGGTGAGCCGCTTGGTGTGCAGCTCAGGCCCTCGGTAGGGGGCGTCTGGCCGTCTTCTTCCGAGCTCACTGGCTGGACTTCGAGCTGGAAGAGCTTTGTGAGCGGGCTTAACCCTGGGTAGTTGTGTTGACGCCAGCCTGTTGGAGCTGTAGGCAACAAAAGTCTGCGGTGACCCCTGGACCTCTTAGCTCACTGTGATGGGAAAGCCGTCCAACTCGAACGGACTGGGAGACATCTGGGTGTGGGCAGGTCCGCTGTCCCCACCCATCCCTCTCCCAGCCTTCTAAGACTGCCTGGGCCCTCCCTGTGAGAACTGAGGGTGCAGGGGGTGCAGGATTACACAAGGCACCCAGATCCTCCTGGCTGACCTGCGCACTGCCTGGCCCTGGCTTCGATCCTTGTATCTTTCCAACTCCTAGAAACGTGTGAGAACGTGGACTGTGGACCGGGGAAAAAATGCCGAATGAACAAGAAGAACAAACCGCGCTGTGTCTGCGCTCCAGATTGTTCGAACGTCACCTGGAAGGGGCCGGTCTGTGGGCTGGATGGGAAAACCTACCGCAGCGAATGTGCCCTCCTCAAAGCCAGATGTAAAGAGCAGCCCGAGCTGGAAGTGCAGTACCAGGGCAGATGTAAAAGTAGGTCCAACCCTGAGCAAGAACCCACCTCGCCTCCTTTGGCTTTTCCTTTGGCCCCCTGGGAGACCCCCTTCTGGGATAGCATAGTCAGCCCGAGAGAGTGATAGTAGTTATGCCAAATAAAGGAGCCCTTTTCTAACTTCTAAAGAATCGGTAAGAGTCCTGAAAAGAACCAACCCAAAGTTACAGCTTTTTTTTTTTTTTTTTAATTTTGTAAAATCCCAGGCTCCTAAAGCATCTTTTGCAAGGTGGATGCTTTGTTTTTTCATGGTTTCCTTGATACCCTGTCGTGCTGGCTGTGCAGCCTATTGAAGAGTGTTTCCCTCTTTTTTTTTCCCCAGAGACCTGTCGGGATGTTTTCTGTCCAGGCAGCTCCACGTGTGTGGTGGACCAGACCAATAATGCCTACTGTGTGACATGTAATCGGATTTGCCCAGAGCCCACCTCTTCCGAGCAGTATCTCTGTGGGAACGATGGAGTGACATATTCCAGTGCCTGCCACCTGAGAAAGGCCACCTGCCTGCTGGGCAGATCCATTGGATTAGCCTATGAGGGAAAGTGTATCAGTAGGTATTCTGGATTGAGAAAGGAAAAAGAGATAGCAAACAACCAGAAAGGCTAGTTCTAACACTAATACTATGGGATTAGTCAAGGATGAAAGCCCAGAGTCTCCTCCAGTGAGCCATTTCACTAGAGAGAGAAATGCTGTACAGGTTGGGTAAACTGTAATGACCACAGAATTCCTTGTGGACACCCGTTGTCTTCTAGAAGTACTGACATACACGGACACATACACTCAAATGTCCGGAAGAATCAGCAAACAATATCCCACCTCTGAAAACTTAGAACTCACACAATTATACACATTTTTTAAAAGTGCCAGACTTGCTAGAAGCAAAAAATAATTACTTAACAGTTCCTAAAATCTGTTATCAGAGACCAGTAATTGGTGGAATTCTTTTCTTTTTTTTTTTTAAGATACCACCTTGTAGGAAATAATCAGATGCATATTTAACTCAAGGATTCCATGAAATCCTGTTCCAAAATATGCTGTCTTCTATACTACTGTAGTGTGAAAGGAGAAATTGTGTGTGTGTATGTGTTTGATTGCCTAATGAAACACTTTTACATAACATCTTCATTACTCCATTATAAATAATAAAATATAAATGACTGTGTTTATGTTTATTAGTAGAGAACTAAAGGAGGACGAAAGGGGGACCAGACTGATCAGTTGACTTATCACAGATGTATTATACCCTAGAAGCAAAGTCCTGTGAAGATATCCAGTGCAGTGGTGGAAAAAAGTGTTTATGGGATTTCAAGGTTGGCAGAGGCCGGTGCTCCCTCTGTGATGAGCGGTGCCCTGATAGCCAGTCGGATGAGCCCGTCTGTGCCAGCGACAATGCCACTTACGCCAGCGAGTGTGCCATGAAGGAAGCTGCCTGCACCTCAGGTGTGCTGTTGGAAGTAAAGCACTCCGGATCTTGCAACTGTAAGTGCGATTTCTAACTCTGCTGCAATTTAAGGCTTTCCCAAGCAAGCCCTAGAAAACGGACACTTAAAAAGCACGCAGACCTCCCTGTGCAAGCCTGTTTCTGTTTTAAGTAAGGTAGCCGCTAAATTTCACCATCAAGTCAGTGATCCACAAAACAGTTCTCTGCAATGTGTCCCAGCTTTTAGGACCTAACTGGTGATCAACTGGGTCACCTCTAAAATGTCTATATCTGGTCACTTGTCCCTAATTCATTGGCTTCAGTAATGTGCTTTGCTGTTCGCTTTATTAACACTTGAATCTAAACTAACTTCCTCAAAAGTCTTTTTTTTTTTTTTTTCCAAAGTCAGCTTTGTGTATAATCACATATGGGCTGCTGCTTTTCGCAGTTGCCTGTACTAACTCTGAATTAAGGGCCCAAAGCAGTTATACCCAGAACACAAGAGCGCTTTTTATCTGATTTCAGGAATCTGCCCGTAAAACCTGAGCCATTGATTCTTCAGAACTTTCTGCAGTTTTTTGACTTCATATATTATGGTTTTTTAAAAAACAAAAATTTAAACTTATTCTGTAACAGCAGATGCCAAAAACAAACCACTAAAAGCATCTCACTGCAAGTTACACACAAATGCAACGCTGTAATGTGGCTAATGAGAGGGCTTTGAAAGCATACACTGAGCTGCTTCTGCGCTGTTGTTGTCCGTGTTTAAACAACAGCTCCCTGTATTCCCCATCTAGCCATTTCGGAAGACACCGAGGAAGAAGAAGAAGATGAAGACCAGGACTACAGCTTTCCTATATCTTCCATTCTAGAGTGGTAAACCTTCCACCAGTGATTATGTGCACACAGGCTTTGAGGAAAAAAAAAAAAAAAAGGAAAGAAAAGGAAAAAAATATATTGTCCATACTGTAAATAAGTGTACGCTTATTTATTTGGGGGGAAAACTCTACATGAAAGGACCTTTGTCCTGAAGCTCTCTCCCAGGCCACCTTGTTACTCCTCGGGCACGGAGGAGCAGTCATTGTGAGGTCTACTGGATGAGGCCATAGTTGAAACTTGTAGACATTTATTTATACTGTGTCATGTTTTATAATTTATACATGAAATGTCTGGTTGACTGTACACCTTGTTTTTGAAGAAATTTATTCGTGAAAGGAAGCGCAGTTGTTATTTATTGTGAGGTCTCTTGCTTGTAAAGTAAAAGCTTTTCTTTCTCCCCTTGTAAACCATTTAAATCCATTCCTTCCTCCCCACTTACTCCTCTGTCTCCCTTCATTGCACCATTAATTAGCTTCTTTTCCACTTTTAACAAACTTGCATGTTGTTCCTGTCATGTTTATTTATTGGATTCTCTGCTGCCTGATCTGTACATACATGATCCCTCGGGTTTTGTTTACAAGGAATCTTGACTGACCAAAAGGCATTAGAACGCTGGCTCAAAGGCAAGGTACAGAGGACGCACGTCTTCGCGGAAACCCCTGCTTCCTTTCTCTTGTGCTGAGGAGGCCATTCGTGAGAGAAAATGTGAGAACAGTGTTAGAATTCTGATAATGTGCTTTTAGGACATTACAGATCCAAAGAAATAGAGTGATGTGGGTGTCTAGAAATTACAGTGAGACAAAGGCTCAGTTAGCCTTTCTTGGGAGTTTCCATTAAGCTAGTTAGCTGTACCTTTTAAATTCTTTTTCAACCAATGTGTCATTAAAAGTTCTATCAAAGCTTTATCAGTTCAAGTTTCTTGATTTTCATAATACTTTTTTCTGATGCAATTTTATATTTTCAAACATGGCAAGTTAAATATAAATTCATTTAAATATATAGTTTTGTACTTTTTCTACCATGTAAATGTGCAATGTATATAAAAGTTATAATGTGTATTTGTAAATAAATGATGAGTGAAAAAATAAAAAAAATTTTAAAAAGCCAATGGTCTCATTTTTTTTTTGATGCAAAAGAAATTGTTTGGCATATGGAGTAGAAGTACATATGATACATTTCCTAAAGAATATAGTTATTGCTGAAATTAGGTGACAAGGACAATCAGAGCCGCAAAGTGAGGTAAATTACAAATCACCTCAGTGCGGATTGAAAAATAAAGGTCCATCATCTCCTTGAGAAAGGTGGCGTGTATGTGGTGCCAGCCACAAAAAAGACATGTCGATGTGAATCCCTCTCTAGACTGTACCAACCTGTTTGTCTTTGAAAATATTCTCTCAGCTGTGCTTGTTGACCCAGCCAGGGGCCCCTGTAACCTCCTCTACTCATCTAAGTGATGTGGAGATCAAATCATTACAAATCAACTTGTGTCACAAGGAAAGTGAAAATAGGCCGGCAGAAGTTTGACCAACAGTCTAGCAATGAGACTGCAGAAATGGTTGTATTAGAATTCTTGAGACTTAGCAAGATGGTTGGAGTGGAGCTAGATCTCCACATCAGTGTCCATCTTTGGGGGTCAAATAGTGACAAAGTAGAAGAGGGCCTGTTGATGTTTTGCAATTTGATATACATTACTAGGCCTCCAGAATAGCTTTGCAGGCATCAACCAATGACTCCCGTAATAGTCTAGGAAAAAGGATACGTAAGAATATCTAAGATCCAACTTGTAAATATGTTTTTTAAAAAAAAAAAAAAAAGATGAAAAGAAATGGGACAACTGGGAAGGGAAAAGCAAAGATATCAGCATTAAATAATATCAATAAGACTATCGCTTCTCGGCCTTTTTGGCTAAGATCAAGTGTAATATCAATATGACTAAATAAACATGTTCTTTATTTCAAAGCCACGACCCAAGTTCTTTCAAGTAGATGGTCTCTTTTTGTGAAAGTACTCGGTATGAACAGCACTAAAATTTACTGGCAGAAGTTGTTTGTCACCAAATGAGAAATTTGGCGGAGGCAGAGAAGGCTTGTGTAGGCAGATTTTATTTAATGAATTGTAATCTCTTAAGGTTTTTGACCTTTCGGAAAAACTGGGAAAGGAGGAACAGAAAACAAAGCTGGCTGGCTAATGCTTTGAGGGTCTAAGAAGAGGGCTTCACTTGCCCAGTGCAGATGAGCCATTTAGAACGTGGTCTCAGGAAAGGCTGGACAGAATGGGTTTTCCAGCCCTTCCTGGGCTGCTTTGTGGCTTCCTCCTGCAGTGATGCTGATGGCTGATGCAATAGAACCTGCCAGCGACAATCAGTGAAAGCATCCAGGATAGCAGGGTCTTACGCGTGACTTGGCAAGCAAGCGTGATGAGAATCAGCAACTTGCCTTTTAAACAACATTCGTATTAATTATTTAAAGCTTTATTTGGTGGGCCAGGGAGATAGCTCAGTGGTCTAATTGCCTGCCTGGCAAGCTCAGGGACCAGGATTTGTTCCCCGGGACCACGTGCTGTGCCAGCCCTGGAACCGACCTCTGAAACCAGATACGGTGACACACACCTGTAATCCCAGCACCGAAGAGGCTGAGACAGGAGGATCGCTACAAGTCCGAGCTGCATAGTGAGACCCTGTACAAGTACATAAAATTAAAGATAAATAAATAAAATTTTACTTGGTATTGGTCAGCATTGCTCATTCCTCTTAAATGCCAGGACCTCATTTTCCTTCTTGGAATTTCATACTTTTCCAATAATCTTACATTAGCCTAATTAATGTCAAAAATATAGATATCTGTGTGTGTGTGTGTGTGTGTGTGTGTGTGTGTGTGTGTGTGTGTGTGTCTGGGATACTATGGATCAAACCTAAGGCCTCATGAATGCTAGGCAGACACTTTACCACTATGCTATACCTTCAGCCCTAGAAATCATTATTAAAATTAAAATTAGATTTATATCATTAGATGGTGGTTAGAATTTCAGTGAAGTCTCAAGTGTATTTCACCTGTGTATAATATCATTAACACAAACAATTGTTAGTAACTAGGGTTTTTTAAATTTTTCTTTTCCTTTTTATATATTTACTTATTTACTGTCAGAGGAGATCCTCAGATGTGCTGAGCTTAGGCCTTTTTTTTTTTTTTTTTTTTCAGAACCTGGGATTGAACTCAGGCCCTTGTGCTTGCCAGGCAAGCACTTATTCCACTGAGCTATCTCCCCAGCTCCTGCATCCCTCTTTATCTATCTGTATTTATTAACTTGAGATAGTCTTACTAAATAGCTCAAGCTAGACTTGAATCTAAGGTACTCCTGTATCAGTCTCCCAGAGTGCTGGAATTATAGGCATGAGCCATACTGTGCAGAATAACTAATTTTAATTAGTAGTTAATGACTACATCCTAATCATCACTGGGAATTGCAAAAATGTAAAGTGATAGTGAAAATGCAACTGTAAGTCTAGTTTTTATCTGATGTGCACTTAGACTAAGAGGTTTTATTTATTTATTTTTATTTTTTTTTTTACTTTTTGGTAACAGGGATTGAACTCAGAACCTTGTACTTGCCAGCCAGGCACTGAGCTATCTCCCCAGTCCAGAATTTTGTATACTGTCTTGGATACAGTGCCTCAAATACAGCAAAATTCAAGCCTGGCTTTATTAAAATCATCCTTAAACAGAAGCGCTAAATGCAGTACCTGACCCTAGACCAGTTCCTGTATTTAAGAGAGGAAAGTAAAATATTACAATTGAATACATAAATAAATAATAAATGTATGTTACCTCAATGTTAAATTTACTAAAATTGATCTCTACATTAGTTTTCTGTAAAAGATCAAAATGTATGTAATTATCTTTAAATGGTTTGAGAAGAAAAGATATTGTAGGCTTTAGCCTATGTTTCATATATTATGTATTTGAAGAGATACAAAAATAGTAGATGAAACACAGTAAAATATTAATATAAGTAAATCTGAGTAAGAGCTTCAGAATTTCCTAAAATAGTTTTTACATGGTATAATTTAGTTTCTCTATCTCTCCCTTCCCCTTCCAAGCTCTTCAACCTCTCTACCCCTCCTTATGTACAAAGATTTGTTTCCATTTTATACTTTGTCCTCACTTTATTCTTTTCCCTTCCACTCCCCCAGTCTCTTTTCCTTTAAAACAGTTACTTCGTAGTTCATAATACCTATTACACATTTTGATTCTAATTTATGCTTTCAGTTGCTCATAGCAAAGAACCAATGCAATATTTATGCCATGCGTCTGATTCATTTCACTTAAGAATATAGTCTCGAGGTCCGTCCATTTAACTAAAAAGTGTCTCAAGTTTGTCCTTCTTTGTGGCTGAGGGGTACTCCATTGTATAAAGAAAACCTCATCTTTTTTATCCATTTGTCAACTGATGGGCATGTGGGTTGTTTCCAAGATTTAGCTACTGCAAGATAGGCTGCTATGAACAGATATATAGATATAGATGTAGCTATTGTATGATGCTTTCGGTTCTTTAGGGAAGACACTCAGAAGGGGAATAGCTAAGTCAAATGGAATCTCTAGTCCTAGGGGTTTTGTTTTTTAGCAATCTCCACAGTGGTTG